CTTTGGGGTGATAGCTCTGAAGAAATGGTCTGACGGTGGTGAGAGTGGAGCAGGACTTTCTCCGTGGCGCAATTGGCCAGCGCGATCGGCTGTTAACCGAAAAGTTGGAGGTTCGAGCCCTCCCGGGAGTGGTGTTTTGCTTTTTTCTTTGCGCTGATAGCTTTGAAGATATGTTCTGATGGTGGTGAGAGTGAAGCACGACTGTCTCCGTGGCGCAATTGGCTAGCGCGATCGGCTGTTAACCAAAAGGTTGGAGGTTCGAGCCCACACGGTGGTGGTGCGGTGCTTTTTTTTCTTTGGGCTGATAGCTTTGAAGTTATGTTCTGATGGTGGTGAGAAGGGAGCAAGACTGTCTCCGTGGCGCAATGGGCTAGCGCGATCGGCTGTTGACCGAAAGGTTGGAGTTTCGAGCCCTCCCGGGAGTGGTGTGTTGCTTTTTTCTTTGCGCTGATAGCTTTGAAGATATGTTCTGATGGTGGTGAGAGTGAGCAAGACTGTCTCCGTGGCGCAATGGGCTAGCGCGATCGGCTGTTAACCGTAAAGGTTGGAGGTTCGAGCCCACCCGGTGGTGGTGCAGCGCTTTTTTTTTCTTTGGGCTGATAGCTTTGAAGATATGTTCTAATGGTGGTGAGAGTGGAGCAGGGCTGTCTCCTGTGGCGCAATTGGCCTAGCGCGATCGGCTGTTAACCGAAAAGTTGGAGGTTCGATCCTACCCAGGTGGTTGTGCAGGTGCTTTTTTTTCTGTGGGCTGATAGCTTTGAATGATATGTATCTGATGGTGGTGAGAGATGAGCAAGACTATCTCCTGTGGCGCAATTGGCTAGCGCGATCGGCTGTTGAACCGGAAAGGTCTGAGGTTCGAGCCCTCCCGGAAGTGGGTGCTGCTGCTTTTTTTTCTTTGCGATGATAGCTTTGAAGATATGTTCTGATGGTGGTGAGAGTGGAGCAAACTGTCCTCCGTGGCGCAATGGCTAGCGCGATCGGCTGTTAACCGAAAGGTTGGAGTTTTGAGCCCTCCCGGGAGTGGTGTGCGGCTTTTTTTCTTTGCACTGATAGCTTTGAAGATATGTTCTGATGGTGGTGAGAGTGGAGCACGATTGTCTCCGTGGCGCAATAGGCTAGCGCGATCTGCTGTTAACCGAAAGGTTGGAGGTTCCAGCCCACCCGGTGGTGGTGCGGCGCTTTTTTTTTTCTTTGGGCTGATAGCTTTGAAGATATGTTCTAATTGTGGTGAGAGTGGAGCAGGGCTGTCTCCGTGGCGCAATTGGCCAGCGGGATCGGCTGTTAACCGAAAAGTTGGAGGTTCGATCCCACCCGGTGGTGGTGCGGTGCTTTTTTTTCTTTGGGCTGATAGCTTTGATGATATGATCTGATGGTGGTGAGAGATGAGCAAGACTGTCTCCGTGGCGCAATGGGCTAGCGCGATCGGCTGTTGACCGAAAGGTTGGAGTTTCGAGCCCTCCCGGGAGTGGTGTGTTGCTTTTTTCTTTGCGATGATAGCTTTGAAGATATGTTCTGATGGTGGTGAGAGTGGAGCAAGACTGTCTCCGTGGCGCAATGGGCTAGCGCGATCGGCTGTTAACCGAAAGGTTGAAGTTTTGAGCCCTCCCGGGAGTGGTGTGCTGCTTTTTTTCTTTGCGCTGATAGCTTTGAAGATATGTTTCTGATGGGGTGAGAGTGGAGACGATTGTCTCCGTGGCGCAATAGGGCTAGCGCGATCTGCTGTTAACCGAAAGTTGGAGGTTCCAGCCCACCCGGTGGTGGTGCGGCGCTTTTTTTTTCTTGGGCGATAGCTTTGAAGATATGTTCTAATTGTGGGTGAGAGTGGAGCGAGGCTGTCTCCGTGGGCGCAATTGGCCAGCGGGATCGGCCTGTTAACCGAAAGTTGGAGGTTCGATCCCACCCGGTGGTGGTGCGGCGACTTCCCTTTTCTTTGGCGGATAGCTTTGAATGATATGATCTGATGGTGGTGAGAGATGAGCAAGACTGTCTCCGTGGCGCAATGGGCTAGCGCGATGCGGCTGTTACCGAAAGTGTTGGAGTTCGAGCCCGCCCGGGAGTGGTGTGTGCTTTTTTTCTTTGCGCTGATAGCTTTGAAGATATGTTCTGATGGTGGTGAGAGTGGAGCAAGACTGTCTCCGTGGCGCAATTGGGCTAGCGCAATCGGCTGTTAACCGAAAAGTTGGAGATTCGAGCCCACCCGGTGGTGGTGCGGCGCTTTTTTTCTAGGGGTGATAGCTTTGAAGATATGTTCTGATGGTGGTGAGAGTGGAGCACGACTGTCACCGTGGGGCAATTCGCTAGCACGATCGGCTGTTAACCGAAAGAATGGAGGTTCGAGCCCACCCGGTGGTGGTGCGGCGCTTTTTTTTTCTTTGGGGTGATAGCTCTGAAGAAATGGTCTGACGGTGGTGAGAGTGGAGCAGGACTATCTCTGTGGCGCAATTGGCTAGCGCGATCGGCTGTTAACCGAAAAGTTGGAGGTTCGAGCCTACCAAGTGGTTGTGCGGCGATTTTTTTTCTGTGGGCTGATAGCTTTGAAGATATGTTCTGATGGTGGTGAGAGTGGAGCAGGACTATCTCTGTGGCGCAATTGGCTAGCTTGATCGGCTGTTAACCGGAAAGTCTGAGGTTCGAGCCCACCCGGTGGTGGTGCGGCGCTTTTTTTTCTTTGGGCTGATAGCTTTGAAAATATGTTCTGATGGTGGTGAGAGTGGAGCAGGACTGTCTCCGTGGCGCAATTGGCTAGCGCGATCAGCTGTTAACCAAAAGGTCGGAGGTTCGAGCCCACCCAGTGGTGGTGCGGCGCTTTTTTTTCTTTGGGCTGATAGCTTTGAAGATATGTTCTTATGGTGGTGAGAGTGGAGCAGGACTGTCTCCGTGGCGCAATTGGCTAGCGCGATCGGCTGTTAACCGAAAAGTCGGAGGTTCGAGCCTACCCGGTGGTTGTGTGGCGCTTTTTTTCTGTGGGCTGATAGCTTTGAAGATATGTTCTGATGGTGGTGAGAGTGAAGCAGGACTGTCTCCGTGGCACAATTGGCTAGCGTGATCGGCTGTTAACCGAAAAGTTGGAGGTTCGAGCCCACCCGGTGGTGGTGCGGTGCTTTTTTTTCTTTGGGCTGATAGCTTTGAAGATATGTTCTGATGGTGGTGAGAGTGGAGCAGGACTGTCTCCGTGGCGCAATTGGCTAGCGCGATCGGCTGTTAACCGAAAGGTTGGAGTTTTCGAGCCCACCCGGATGGTTATGCGGCGCTTTTTTTTTTTCTTCTGCGTGATAGCTTTGAAGATATGTTCTGATGGTGGTGAGAGTGGAGCAGACTGTCTCCGTGGCGCAGTTGGCTAGCGCGATCGGCTGTAACCGAAAGGTTGGAGGTTCGAGCCCACCCGGTGGTGGTGCGGCGCTTTTTTTTCTTTGTGCTGATAGCTTTGAAGATATGTTCTGATGGTGGTTGAGAGTGAGCAGGACTGTCTCCGTGGTCGCAATTGGCTAGCGCGATCGGCTGTTAACCGAAAGGTGGAGGTTCGAGCCCACCTCGTGGTGGTGCGGCGCTTTTTTTTCTTGTGGCTGATAGCTTTGAAGATATGTTCTGATGGTGGTGAGAGTGGAGCACGACTGTCTCCGTGGCGCAATTGGCTAGCGCGATCGGCTGTTAACCGAAAAGTCGAAGGTTCGAGCCTACCCGGTGGTTGTGTGGCGCTTTTTTTCTGTGGGCTGATAGCTTTGAAGATATGTTCTGATGGTGGTGAGAGTGAAGCAGGACTGTCTCCGTGGCGCAATTGGCTAGCGTGATCGGCTGTTAACCGAAAAGTTGGAGGTTCGAGCCCACCCGGTGGTGGTGCGGTGCTTTTTTTCTTTGGGCTGATAGCTTTGAAGATATGTTCTGATGGTGGTGAGAGTGGAGCAGGACTGTCTCCATGGCGCAATTGGCTAGCGCGATCGGCTGTTAACCGAAAGGTTGGAGTTTTGATCCCTCCCGGGAGTGGTGTGTTGCTTTTTTCTTTGCGCTGATAGCTTTGAAGATATGTTCTGATGGTGGTGAGAGTGGAGCAGGACTGTCTCTGTGGCGCAATTGGCTAGCGCGATTGGCTGTTAACCGAAAGGTTGGAGGTTCGAGCCTACCCGGTGGTGGTGCGGCGCTTTTTTTTCTTTGGGCTGATAGCTTTGAAGATATGTTCTTATGGTGGTGAGAGTGGAGCAGGACTGTCTCCGTGGCGCAATTGGCTAGCGTGATCGGCTGTTAACCGAAAAGTTGGATGTTCGAGCCCACCCGGTGGTGGTGCGGTGCTTTTTTTTCTTTGGGCTGATAGCTTTGAAGATATGTTCTGATGGTGGTGAGAGTGGAGCAGGACTGTCTCCATGGCGCAATTGGCTAGCGCGATCGGCTGTTAACCAAAAGGTCGGAGGTTCGAGCCCACCCGGTGGTGGTATGACGCTTTTTTTCTTTGGGCTGATAGCTTTGAAGATATGTTCTGATGGTGGTGAGAGTGAAGCAGGACTGTCTCCGTGGCGCAATTGGCTAGCGCGATCGGCTGTTAACCGAAAGGTTGGAGTTTCGAGCCCACCCGGCGATGGTGCGGCGCTTTTTTTTTCTTTGGGCTGATAGCTTTGAAGATATGTTCTGATGGTGGTGAGAGTGGAGCACGACTGTCTCCGTGGCGCAGTTGGCTAGCGCGATCGGCTGTTAACCGAAAGGTTGGAGGTTCGAGCCCACCCGGTGTTGGTGCGGCGCTTTTTTTCTTTGTGCTGATAGCTTTGAAGATATGTTCTGATGGTGGTGAGAGTAGAGCAGGACTGTCTCCGTGGTTCGATTGGCTAGCGCGATTGGCTGTTAACCGAAAGGTTGGAGGTTCGAGCCCACTCGGTGGTGGTGCGGTGGTTTTTTTTCTTTGAGCTGATAGCTTTTGTGACAGTCATGCACACGTGCGCTAGATTGGGGGCAACGCCCCTCGGCATAGAATGTATATATGAGAGCGCTATCGTTCAATAAAGGTTCTTTCGACGCACATGACCCGTGCAAGCCACATGGTGTCAGAAGTGGTCGGACCGCAGCCGATACACGCAGCCGGCGAACGAACAGCGGACGCGTAGCAAGCCAACAGGGGCGGCTCGAAGGTCCCAACCAGCTACAAGCATGCAGAACGGGGAACAGCGCCAGCAGGCCAGCGGACCAGTCACCACGCTATTGCCACCGCCGAAAGCCCTGGACACCACAGGAGACGTATGGCGAAGCTGGAAGACATGGCGGCAAGAGTTCGAGCTCTTCGCAACGGCAACATACCTGAACCAGCAACCGAAAGAGGTACAGGCAGCCACCTTTCTTATGATTATCGGAGAGGACGCACGCAAGACGTACAGCACTCTTGATTTTGCAACTGACGAAGAGAAGTCGGACGTAGAAGTACTGAAAATGAAGTTTGAGGCATTTTACAAACCAGCTCTAAACTTAGCCTACCATGAGTTCCGCTTTGGAAAGTGCGACCAAAAGGACGGTGAAAGTTTCAATGACTGGCTGACAGACCTCAGAGTGCTAGCAAAAAGCTGCGAGTTTGGGCAGCTTGAAGAGCGTATGCTGAGAAGCCGTATTATTCTCGGAATTAGAGATAAAAAGCTGCAAGAAAAGCTAATCTCCGAAAATGCTTCTTTCACGAAGACCGTAGAAATGTGTCGCTCTCGTGAACATGGCAAAGAACAGTGTGAAGAGATACAGGCGCGCCCGAAAAGCGATTACGCAGCCGAGATGAACGCGCTATCTGAAGCGAAAGGTCAGCGTTGTACAAAGTGCGCAAAGGTTCATCAGACCGACCGTGTGTGCCCAGCAAAGGGACGCACGTGCAGGAAATGCGGTGGCAGAAATCACTTTGCGATAGCCTGCAAGAAGATGCAAAAAAGATTTCATTCGAAAGAGCACGCAGTAGCATCTGTCGATGCAGAAGAAGGCGATTTCTGGTTAGAAACGCTATCGCATGCCCGTGGGAAAGACGACCGCTGGACGGCTACCGTTGAGATAGAAGGAAAGCCTATTTTTTGCAAGCTAGACACAGGCGCAACATGCTCGGTTATAGCACGCAGCCAGCTGCAGAAAATAACAAACAAGCAGCCACTTGATTGCAACGTTGTTTTAAACACATTTTTTGGCTTCCAGAAAAAAGCGACGAAACAAGTTCGTCTTGAAGTGGCAACGAGAGAAAGCAAGATTCTGACAGAGTTTTTCGTCGTGGATGACGAAATCGCCGTGACCTTGAGCGGTACAGTTGCCGAAGAGCTTGGCTTGCTCCAACGTGTCTGCTCTGTCGACCAAATAGAGCTTTACGGCACTGCCAAGCCTTACGAAGACGTGTTTGAAGGTCTGGGTCAACTGGAGGGTATTGTCTACCATCTAAAGCTCAAGCCCGGGTCCCAGGGAGTAGTGAAACCAGCACGGCGGATTCCAATAGCATTGCAAAGCAAGGTGAAAGCTGAGCTCGACCGCATGGAGACTGCTGGAGTCATCGTGAAAGTGACCGAGCCGACAGAGTGGGCCAGCAACATGGTCGTTGTTACAAAAGGAGAGAAGGTACGCATTTGTCTTGATCCTTCCGACCTAAACAAAGCTCTGCTTCGCGAGCACTATCCAATGCCAACATTGGAAGACATAGCACCTTCGATAAGTGGGGCCCAGTACTTTACAACTTTGGACGCAGCCTCCGGTTTCTGGCAAATCAAGCTGGATAAAGAAAGCTCTAAGATTTGCACTATGTGCACTCCATACGGCCGTTATAGATTTTTGCGCATGCCCTTTGGAATCTCGTCGGCGCCGGAAATATTTCAGCGGGCCATGCACCGCGTGCTAGAAGGCCTCGAAGGCGTAGCGGTTGTCATGGACGACATTCTAGTGTGGGGCCGATCAAGAGAGCAGCATGATGCAAACCTTGAACACGTCCTACGACGTTGCCGAGAGTACAAACTGAAATTGAACAGAAAGAAATGCCGTTTTTTACAGGAGTCCGTCCGGTACTTGGGACACATTTTGACGCGCGACGGCCTGAGCCTGGATCCACAGCGGCTAGAAGACATCTTGCAAGTCCAGACGCCAAGCAACCAGAAAGAGCTGCAGACGTTCCTGGGCATGGTAAATTTTGTCTCTCGCTTTATTCCGAATATGTCGGACCTAACAGCACCACTTCGAGAATTACTAAAGAAGAATGTCGCGTGGCTTTGGGAGGACCGCCAAGATGCAAGCTTCAAGGCTCTGAAGGAAGCGCTTGCGACAGCCCCTGTACTAAGCTACTACGAGAAGGGGAAACCAATCAGGCTGTCGGTAGATGCCAGTCAGAACGGAGTTGGCGCAGTGATCATACAGGACGGGCATCCACTAGCGTATTCGTCGCGTTCCTTGACAGAAACACAGCAAAGGTATGCCCAGATCGAAAAGGAGATGCTGGCAATTGTCCACGGCTGTGAAAGATTCCGCGACTATCTTTTCGGGCAGCCTGAAGTTGTGGTAGAATCCGATCACAAGCCACTAGAAATTATATTTAAGAAGCCGTTATGCCAATGTCCTCTAAGGCTTCAGCGCATGCGCCTCAGCTTGCAGAGGTACCCGATAGTCGTCAAATACACACCTGGAAAACAGCTGTTTGTTGCTGACGCTTTATCACGGTCCCCGAGCCAAGCAATATTGAAAGAACAGTGCCTGAATTATCAGTTGAACACCATTGCTTGCCTGCAGGTTTCAGACAGACGGCTGAGCCAAGTTCTACAAGAGACCGACCAGGACCCTGTGATGGTGAAACTTCGACAGTACGCAAGCAGTCAGTGGCCGGAGAGCAAAGCTGACGTCAGCAGCGAGCTACGATGCTACTGGAGCTTCCGCGACGAGCTGCATACGCAAGATGGCCTTGTATTCAGGAGCAACCGCCTCATCATTCCGGCCAAGATGCGCAGCGAAGTTCTTGCCTGCCTTCATGCAGCGCATGGGGGAGCAGAAAAAATGAAAGCACGTGCTCGAGCTGTACTTTTTTGGCCTTCTATAAACAGCGATCTAGAGGAAGTTGCTCGACGCTGTGAGACCTGCCAAAAGCACAAGCCACGAAATCGGCGCTTGCCATTGATGAACCATGAAATTCCTAGCCTACCCTGGGAAGTTGTGGGAGCCGACATATGCTATCACAATGCTACCGAGTACTTGGTGGTTGTTGACTTTTATTCTTTCTTTTTCGAAATCAGGCCCGTGAAGACGACAGCCGACAAGGTGATTGCTGCCTTCGCAGACATATTCGCCACTCATGGCTTCCCGCAGCGCCTATGCACGGACAATGGACCGCCATTCAGCAGCCAGGACTTTCGTGAATTTGTCGGTAAGATTAGCTTGCACCATGTTCGCTCCAGCCCCTATCACCCTCGATCAAACGGAATGGCTGAACGTGCGGTGCAAGAAGCCAAAAAATTGCTGAAGAGGTATCGGTACGGCACAGTGGATTTTTGTGCTGCATTGCTTGAATGGAGAAACACTCCTCGCGATTCCTATTTGAAATCTCCAATGCAGAGACTCATGGGCCGAAATGCGAGGACGCTGCTGCCAGTCACGGAAACCCACCTGCGACCGCAGACCATACCGCCAGAGGAGGTTCAACGGCGGCTCCACGTCATCAGAAGTAGACAACGTTCCTTCTACAACAGGGGTACAAGGCCGCTACCAGGACTTCCTGAGGGCTCCCGCGTCACAGTGTACAACGTACCATCAAAGACCTGGTCCCCTGCTACGGTTGTCAAGCCTGCCAACAGTCCGAGAGCCTACATTGTTGAGACCGAAGATGGACTCCAGTTGCAGCGCACCAGAGAACATCTCCGTCTGGCCCCCACTCCACTGGTGCCCCCCACACAAGAACATCAAGCTGACGTGGGCCCCGCCGAGCCACAACTACGCAGAAGCGAACGCAATCGCCGGCCACCGCAAAGATACCCCATGCCGGAACTTTAGTCTTTTGTTTGTTTAAGAAGGGAGATGTGACAGTCATGCACACGTGCGCTAGATTGGGGGCAACGCCCCTCGGCATAGAATGTATATGAGAGCGCTATCGTTCAATAAAGGTTCTTTCGACGCACATGACCCGTGCAAGCCACAGCTTTGAAGATATGTTTTGATGGTGGTGAGTGTGGAGCAGGACTGTCTCCGTGGCGCAATTGGCTAGCGCGATCGGCTGTTAACCGAAAAGTCGGAGGTTCGAGCCCATCCAGTGGTGGTGCGGCGCTTTTTTTTTCTTTGGGCTGATACCTTTGAAGATATGTTCTGATGGTGGTGAGAGTGGAGCAGGACTGTCTCTATGGCGAAATTGGCTTGCGCGATCGGCTGTTAACCGAAAGGTTAGAGGTTCGAGCCCACCCGGTGGTGGTGCGGCGCTTTTTTTTCTTTGGGCTGATAGCTTTGAAGTTATGTTTTGATGGTGGTGAGAGTGGAGCAGGACTGTCTCTGTGGCGCAATTGGCTAGCGCGATTGGCTGTTAACCGAAAGGTTGAGGTTCGAGCCCACCGGTGTTGGTGCGGCGCTTTTATTCTTTGTGCTGATAGCTTTGAAGATATGTTCTGATGGTGGTCAGAGTAGAGCAGGCTGTCCGTGGTTCGATTGGCTAGCGCGATTGGCTGTTAACCGAAAGGTGGGAGGTTCGAGCCCACTCGGTGGTGGGCGGTGGTTTTTTTCTTTGACTGATAGCATGGAAGATATGTTCTGAGGTGGTGATGTGGAGCAGACTGTCTCCGTGGCGCAATTGGCTAGCGCGATCGGCTGTTAACCGAAAAGTCGGAGGTTCGAGCCATCCATGGTGGTGCGGCGCTTTTTTTTCTTTGGCTGATACCTTGAAGATGTTCTGATGGTGGTGAGAGTGGAGCAGGACTGTCTCTATGGCGAATTGGCTTGCGCGATCGGCTGTTAAACGAAAGGTTAGAGGTCGAGGCCAACCCGGTGGTGGTGCGGCGCTTTTTTTTCTTTGCGCTGATAGCTTTGAAGATATGTTCTGATGATTGTGAGAGTGGAGCACGATCGTCCTCCGATGCGCAATGGCTAGCGCGATCTGCTGTTTAACCGAAAGGTTGGAGGTTCGAGCCACCCGGTGGTGGTGCGGCGCTTTTTTTTCTTGTTTGCTGATAGCTTGAGATATGTCTTAATTGTGGTGAGAGTGGAGCAGGACTTTCCGTGGCGCAATTGGCCAGCGCGATCGGCTGTTAACGGAAAAGTTGGAGGTTCGAGCCCTCCCGGTGGTGGTGCGGTGCTTTTTTTTCTTGGGCTGATAGCTTTGAAGATATGTTCTTATGGTGGTGAGAGTGGAGCAGGACTGTCTCCGTGGCGCAATTGGCTAGCGTGATCGGCTGTTAACCGAAAAGTTGGAGGTTCGAGCCCACCCGGTGGTGGTGCGGTGCTTTTTTTCTTTGGGCTGATAGCTTTGAAGATATGTTCTGATGGTGGTGAGAGTGGAGCAGGAGCAGGACTGTCTCCATGGCGCAATTGGCTAGCGCGATCGGCTGTTAACCAAAAGGTCGGAGGTTCGAGCCCACCCGGTTGTGGTATGACGCTTTTTTTCTTTGGGCTGATAGCTTTGAAGATATGTTCTGATGGTGGTGAGAGTGAAGCAGGACTGTCTCCGTGGCGCAATTGGCTAGCGCGATCGGCTGTTAATCGAAAGGTTGGAGTTTCGAGCCCACCCGGCGGTAGTGCGGCGCTTTTTTTTTCTTTGGGCTGATAGCTTTGAAGATATGTTCTGATGGTGGTGAGAGTGGAGCACGACTGTCTCCGTGGCGCAGTTGGCTAGCGCGATCGGCTGTTAACCGAAAGGTTGGAGGTTCGAGCCCACCCGGTGTTGGTGCGGCGCTTTTATTCTTTGTGCTGATAGCTTTGAAGATATGTTCTGATGGTGGTCAGAGTAGAGCAGGACTGTCTCCGTGGTTCGATTGGCTAGCGCGATTGGCTGTTAACCGAAAGGTTGGAGGTTCGAGCCCACTCGGTGGTGGTGCGGTGGTTTTTTTTCTTTGAGCTGATAGCATTGAAGATATGTTCTGATGGTGGTGAGTGTGGAGCAGGACTGTCTCCGTGGCGCAATTGGCTAGCGCGATCGGCTGTTAACCGAAAAGTCGGAGGTTCGAGCCCATCCAGTGGTGGTGCGGCGCTTTTTTTTTCTTTGGGCTGATACCTTTGAAGATATGTTCTGATGGTGGTGAGAGTGGAGCAGGACTGTCTCTATGGCGAAATTGGCTTGCGCGATCGGCTGTTAACCGAAAGGTTAGAGGTTCGAGCCCACCCGGTGGTGGTGCGGCGCTTTTTTTTCTTTGCGCTGATAGCTTTGAAGATATGTTCTGATGGTGGTGAGAGTGGAGCACGATCGTCTCCGTGGCGCAATTGGCTAGCGCGATCTGCTGTTAACCGAAAGGTTGGAGGTTCGAGCCCACCCGGTGGTGGTGCGGCGCTTTTTTTTCTTTTGGCTGATAGCTTTGAAGATATGTTCTAATTGTGTGAGAGTGGAGCGGACTGTTTCCCCGTGGCGCAATTGGCCAGCGCGATCGGCTGTGAACGGAAAAGTTGGAGGTTCGAGCCCTCCCGGTGTGGTGCGGTGCATTTTTTCTTTGGGGCTGATACTTTGATGATATGATCTGAGTGGTGGTGAGAGATGATCAAGACTGTCTGCGTGGCGCATGGGCTAGCGCGATCGGCTGTTGACCGAGAAGGTTGGGAGTTTCGAGCCTCCCGGGAGTGGCGTGTTGCTTTTTTCTTTGCGATGATTGCTTTGAAGATATGTTCTGATGGTGGTGAGAGCGGAGCAGACTGTCTCCATGGCGCAATTGGCTACGCGATCGGCTGTTACCCGAAAAGTGGGAGGTTCGAGCCCACCCGGTGGTGGTGCGGTGCTGTTTTTTCGTTGGGCTGATAGCTTTGATGATATGATCTGGGTGGTGAAGGGAGCAAGGACTGTCTCCGTGGCGCAAGGGGCTAGCGCGATCGGCTGTGACCGAAAGGTTGGAGTTTCGAGCCTCCCGGGAAAGTGGTGTTGTGCTTTTTTTTCGGGCTGATAGCTTTGAAGATATGTTCTTATGGTGGTGAGAGGGAGCAGGACTGTCTCCGTGGCACAATTGGCAGCGCGATCGGCGGTTAACCGAAAAGTTGGAGGTTCGAGCTACCCGGGTATGCGGCGCTTTTTTTTCTGTGGCTGATAGCTTTGAAGATTGTTCTGATGGTGGTAAAGAGTGGAGCAGGACTGTCTCCGTGGCGCATGCTTGCGTGATCGGCTGTAACCGGAAAGTTGGAGGTTCGAGCTCACCGGTGGTGGTGCGTCGCTTTTTTTCTTTGCGCTGATAGCTTGAAGATATGTTCTGATGGTGGTGAGAGTGGAGCGGATTGTCTACGTGCGCAAAGGCTAGCGCGATCGGCTGTACCGAATGGTCGGAGGTTCGAGCCCACCTGTGGTGGTGGCGCTTTTTTTTCTTTGGGTGATAGCTTGAAGATATGGCTTATGGTGGTGAGAGTGGAGCAGACTGTCTCCGTGCGCAATTGGCTAGCGCGATCGGCTGTTACCGAAATTCAGAGGTGGAGCCTAACCCGGTGGTTGTGCGGCGCTTTTATTTCTGTGGGCGATAGCTTTGATGATATGATGTGATGGTGGTGAGAGAGGAGCAGACTGTCTCCGTGGCGCAATGGCTAGCGCGATCGGCGTTGACCGAAAGGTTGGAGTTTCGAGCCTACCGGGAGTGGTGTGTGCTTGTTTTTTCTCTGCGATGATAGCTTGAAGATATGTTCTGATGGTGGTGAGAGCGGAGCAAGACTGTCTCCATGGCGCAATTGGCTAGCGCGATCGGCTGTTAACCGAAAGATGGAGGTTCGAGCCCACCCGGTGGTGGTGCGGTGCTGTTTTTTCTTTGGGCTGACAGCTTTGATGATATGATCTATGGTGGTGAGAGGTGAGCAAGACTGTCTCCGTGGCGCAATGGCTAGCGCGATCGGCTGTTGACCGAAAGGTTGGAGTTTCGAGCCCTCCCTGTGGTGGTGCGGCGCTTTTTTTTCTTTGGGATAGCTTTGAAGATATGCTTATGGTGGTGAGAGTGGAGCAGGACTGTCTCCGTGGCGCAATTGGCTAGCGCGATCGGCTGTTAACCGAAAATTCAGAGGTTGGAGCCTACCCGGTGGTTGTGCGGCGCTTTTATTTCTGTGGGCTGATAGCTTTGATGATATGATCTGATGGTGGTGAGAGATGAGCAAGACTGTCTCCGTGGCGCAAGGGGCTAGCGCGATCGGCTGTTGACCGAAAGGTTGGAGTTCGAGCCTCCCGGGAGTGGTGTGTTGCTTTTTTTCTCTGCGATGATAGCTTTGAAGATATGTTCTGATGGTGGTGAGAGCGGAGCAAGACTGTCTCCATGGCGCAATTGGCTAGCGCGATCGGCTGTTAACGAAAAGATGGAGGTTCGAGCCACCCGGTGGTGGTGCGGTGCTGTTTTTTTCTTTGGGCTGACAGCTTTTGTGATATGATCTGAGGTGGTGAGAGGTGAGCAAGACTGTCTCCGTGGCGCAGGGCTAGCGCGATCGGTATGTTGACCGAAAGGTTGGCGTTTCGAGCCCTCCGGGAGTGGGGTGTTGCTTTTTTTTTTTCGGGGTGCTAGCTTGAGATATGTTCTTATGGTGGTGAGGAGTGGTAGCAGGACTTCTCTCCGTGGCGCAATGGGCTAGCGCGCGGATCGGCTGTTAACGTAAGGTTGGAGGTTCGAGCCCACCTCGGTGGTGGTTTGCAGCGGCTTTTTTTTCTCTTTGGGCTGATAGCTTTGAAGATATGTCCTGATGGTGGTGAGAGTGGAGCCGGACTATCTCTGTGGCGCAATTGGCTAGCGCTGATCGGCTGTTAACGAAAAGTTGGAGGTTCGGGCTAAAAGTTGTGCGGCGATTTTTTTTTCTGTGGGCTGATAGCTTTGAAGATATGTTCTGATGGTGGTGAGAGTGG